GGAAATGCCGCCAGTCTTTTCACATTCGATAAGATACTGGCATTCGGAATAATGTATGTATATTTTATCATGTTAAGACTATAACTCTCAGGGCGCCTGGGTAGCTCAGTCTGTTAAGCATCTGACTTCTGCTCAGGTCACGATCTCACAGTCCGTGTGTTCAAGCCCCGTGTCAGGCTCTGTGCTGACAGCTCAGAGCCTGGAGCTGCTTCAGATTCTGTCTCCCTCTCCCTCTGCCCCTCCCCCACTTGCACTCTGTCTCTGTCTCTCTCTCTCTCTCTCTCTCAAAAATAAACAAACGTTAAAGAAAATTTAAAATATATAACTCTCAGTTTCTGTTTTCTGTGACTTTTATAAATGAGTTTTAAATTTTATCAAGGATTTTTTTAGCATCTCTTTAGATTTTTTTTCCTTAGGTTTATTAGTACAGTGAATGCTACTGAATTTCCTGATATTGAACCCAACTTTCATTTCTGGAAAAAAATCTACTTGGTCATGGTACATGGCTTCTTACTGTGGTGTTAGATTCTATTTGTTAATTTTTTTAAAATATAGTTTATTGTCACGTTGGTTTCCGTATAACACCCAGTGTTTGTTAATGTTTAATTGAATATTTCTGCATTGATATTCATGAGGGGTGCTGGTCTGTGATTTTCTTTCTTTGTTGCTTTTTATCTGGGGTGTCACTGTTAACACTTGCTTCATAAAAGAACCAGGAGCTTTCTCCAGCCCTGTGGGCACTCAGGAGAGTTTATGTGGAGCACTGGGAACTGGTGGTGAAGGTTCGGTCAAACCCCAGAAGCTGTGTGTCTGGTGCTTCCTGTGGGGTGTCTGCCCAGGAACCCGCTCTGTTTCTTCCCTGCAGCCACCTGTCCCCACGTCCCGGCTGCAGTGGGGCCAGCCTTGGTCATCTGAGTGTCCCGAGGAAGTCGTCCACGTCAGCTACGTTTTCAGGCCTGTTTGCATGGAGGTCTGCAAGGAAGTGTCTTAGGGGTTTGAAAATTTCTTTCATCGGTCACTTCCCCTGTGTCATTTCTTATTTTCTGTATTTGTGCTTTCTCACCTTTTTTCTTGACCAACTTAGCTGGTGGATTGTCCGTTTTGTCAACTACCACACCCCTCCCACACACAGAAAGACAAGACTTAGAGTTATTTATTATTTAGCTCCACTGTTCTTAATAGAAAACCTTTGCCTCATTAATCAGCTTTTCTTCCATTGTTTCTTTCCATGCATTTTCTTTTGGGATACTCTGTTCTTCTAGTTTTTATGAGCTAAGATTTGATTTATTCATTTTTTTCATTTTTATTGACAAAAATATTCATCTAGTGAATTTTTCTCTGATTACTGCTTTAACTGCATTCCGTGGATTCTGATACGTAGTGTTTTTTGTGTCGTTCCTTTTTAAAAAGTCCATATTTTTAGTTTGTGTTTCCCCTTTCACCTAAGAGTCAATAATAGGATTTTTAAATATCCACATGGAAGTACCTTTCTGTTTTGTTGTTGTTGTTAATGATGTATACTTACCTTGCGTTGTGATCACGAAGTATCATCTGCAGTGTTTCTACCTTATGGAAATTGTCAATGTTTTCCTTGTGACCTAATATACCGTCATTCGTGGTGAATGTGCTGTAGCTTCTTGAGACAGTGTACCTTCTGACTTATCAGGGTGTGGAGTTTGCTGCATGTGCACAAGATCTGCCTTGGTCGGTGGTGTTGCTGAGATCTGTGTCCTCACTTAGGTCTTGTGCGCTTGCTCTGTCGTGTACGGAGGCGGCGCAGTCAGTCCCCGTGTCGTCCCCTCACATCCAGTCGTCTCTGCTTCATAGAGGCGGTGGTTGTATTATCTGGCGCACAGATGTTCATGGGTGTTATGTCTTTGCTGTGGATGCAGCTTTTAACATTCAGTACGCCCTCTTGTGTTTACCTCTTTGGAACTTGAATTCTACTTGGTTTCCTTCTCTCTCTTTGTTTTATTTGCCTTTGTCCATCCTTTTAATTTTTGGCTTTCCGGATGACTTTATTTTAGGTGTCTCTCTTGCGTGCAGCATACAGCTGGGGCTTGTTCTGTGAGCCCAGTTAAAAACCGTTTTTCTTTTAATAGGGGAGTGTTTGAACCTGTTTTTATGTCCTGGGTAGCCTGTGTTATTAAACTGTTTATCGTCTCATTTATGTTTCTTTCTCATATTCTTTAACACACACCTGTTGCTTCCACATTACTGACCTGTACATTAATCAGAGTTTTTGCTCTTTTCTGCTTCCTTCATCTAACATTTTTCAGTTGAATCATTTCTGCTTCATCACTGTGTAATATTTGCACATCTGCCTTTCAGCTTAATTGCACCTTTATTTTGGTCTAAGATGTACATCTAAATATTTTAAAAGGTACCTCATAAATCCTTTCGCTGGAATCCCCCCAGTCATCACTAGATCGGTTAGAGCTTACCTTCACGTGGGCGGACTGGGGTGCTGCTGTCCAATACGTGCTAAGGCCCGGCTAAGGCCCGTGTCAGTCCACTCCCTCTGCGTCTTCTTAATCTGTGCCCGCGGGCCTCGAGGACTTTGTCCTCACCTTTGAAATCCCACAGTTCATTAGAACACGTCTCACAGTTGATTGCTTTGGGTCGTTTTTCCCAGGTGCCCTGTGAGACCTTTCACTTGAAGATGCAGGCCTTCTTCTGTGCTGGAAACTTCCTCAGTGTGAGATATTGGCTTCGCGGTACCGTTTTGTGTTCCTCTTATGGGAAGTCCGATTCTCGGGCGCCACCCTTCGTGTTCTCCCCTCCCCGCGTCCTGTCTCTCCTCAGGGTCTTTGTTACTTTTTGTTTGGAGTTTTTCTCCTTGGATTGTCTGTAGTTTATTCCTCATTTCTTTTTTTTTTTTTTTTAATTTTTTGATGTTTATTTATTTTGAGAGAGAGAGAGAGCTGGGGAGGGACAGAGAGAGAGAGAGAGAGAGAGAGAGAATCCCAAGCAGGCTCCATGCTGTCAGCGCAGAGCCTGACGTGGGGCTCAATCCCACGAACCGTGAGATCATGACCTGAGCCAAGATCAAGAGTGAGGCACTTAACCGACCGAGCCTCCCAGGCGCCCCTGTTCCTCATTTCCGAGATAGTTTTGTTTTCCTTTCATTATTTGATGCGTCTGCTCACCTCATACTCTCCCTGTTTTCGTCCTTTTCTGTTTTAATTTTACATTTCCGATTTAGGGTGGTTTTTCCTATCCTCAAATGTTTGAATATCTTTATGTTTTTAGGGTGTGAATTCCAGTTTTCTTTTGACTCGTGCTGGTTTTCGGGAGGAACTCTTCACGGTATTGAGTGTTTTTAAAAGCTTGCCAGTCTGACGGCGGCGGCCTCTCTGGTTGGTTTGGCCCAAGTGCAGGCGCCACGGCTGCTGTCACCTGGCTGGTTTTAGTGAGGACGCGCAGGGCGAATGAGTCCCACGATATTTCCTTTTTACTCGTAGGAACCTGCACTTCCTCTCTCTCTCTCTCTCTTTCTCTCTCTCTCTCAATCTCTCGTTAGCTTCACCACTCAGTTGCCAAAGGTGCTTCTGCCTTCCTTTTTCCTGTTTCCTTCCCCGGAAGCGAGAGCGTTGCCGACGCCTCTGTAAATGGTGTCCGTCCCCTCTGCCACGTGTGTGGGCCCTGAGCCCCTTCCCTGACCCAGGCTCTCTCCTCAGGCACTTTGTCGGTTTTTTGTGTTCGTACTGGACTTTCTCACCCCTTTGCCGGTGCCCGCCTGTGTCCTGCACCCCTGCCTTGGGCCCCCGCTCACCAGGGTCACGTCGCAGGTGCGGGTGTGAGCCCGGAGCTCCTGCTGGCTTCTCTCTGTCTCTCACCCTTTCTTCCGTGGCTCACGTTCTCTGGCTTCACATATGCCTGCAGTCTTGTGCAGGATGCGTAGTTTTGTTAGGGGAGCCATCGGGAAGTCGTGACTCGTAGCCGGCCTTGTCTTCCGCCTCCTGGAAGTCAAGGACTTACCCCGAGAGTCTTCTCAGCGGGTTAAGGGGGCTTGGAGTTCAACATTTTCCAGTTTAATCTCCGATGTCCACTTAACCTTTACGGCATGTTAGAGGTCAGTAAAACTAGCCCTCTAACCTCATGGTATAAGGTTTCCATATTGAATAAATCCACTGAGTTAAAGAAAAAGTCAAAATAGAAAGTACAAACAGGTAGTCGCGCAGACGACAGAAACGTGGTACAGACCACGGTGATGGTCTGCTAGAGGCCAGGAGGCCGAGGGAGCCGCGGTGGGAGGGCCGGTCCGCCGAGCGGGCGGGAGCTGGGCCGGCAGCAGGGCCAGGGGCCAAGGCCGGGCTTCACCGCCGTGCACAAGGGTCCTCTGGCTCGTCAGCTGAAAGCAGGGTGACGCTTCAGAGTGCTCAGTGTTGGGATTTTGAGAGTGAGTGAGTGTTTCCTTGAGCGTTAGAGAACTGCTTTAGCAGTTTACCTTCTTCGGTTCCTGGGGAGGCAGAAACCAAATGCTAACTTTCCCAAGGGTTATCAGTTACAGAGCACGTGGGCAGCTTGAAAATAAGTGCAATTAATTTGCTCCTCAGTGTCAGCAAGACAAAGCATCATTCACACGTGGGTTATTCATCTTGTATTAAGAAAGCATGTAACTCAAAACTAGGCAAAATGTGTGGAAGTGCGAAACGAGTTTCTGGCACAAAATTGATGGGTTTTGTATATTTTCAATATCAATAAACCAGTCGCAGTTGTTTAAAAGAGTCTTGACCAAAATTGTTGAAAATGGCCTCTCTCAATCTCTCAAGCTACATAAGCAGCAAACAGTGCTGGAAGTAATGAGGTTAAATGTAACTGATGGATCGTGTTCCGGAAAGACGGCGTCTGAAGTCACCTCCCCGACGCCCTGTGAACTTGCCTGAGTCCGTAGGTGTCTGTGTTTGCAGCTGTTCTCAGAGAGCCAATGCAGTTAGTGTCGTGTGCTCCAGGAGGCGCTCTGAGGTGTGTTTCTGAACACATTTCGTGTGTTTCAGAAGCGGTTGTGCAGGAGATTGGAAGCGGCCGGGCCGGCGCTGGGCTGCCCCCCGGTGACGGTGAGCACCCCCATGTCCTGGAGCGGCGAGGGGCCGCCAGACGGCGGCCAGTGGCGGCCACGCGCGGGGGTAGGTTCCCGTTCCCACCAAACCAGCTGTGACCCGTTTAAGTATTTTAATAAAAAGTGTAAATAATCACTGTTCTGATACATCTGCGGCTGTGATCTGTTACATAGACGCCTCAGAACGGTGGAAGGAGCCCGGCCCAGCCCTGCCCGAGGTGTGCTGCGGGAGACTCTGTAAGTGCGTTCACCTTCTCGCCGTGACGTAAAAGACAGACTTGTTCTTACATATTAGATCCATAAAACAAAGTTCATAAAAGCGGCAATTGCATTGCTAAGGAATGAGGGATGTAAATAAAAAGGTGCAGATTGATTTAAGCTTTTCTTGGCGTTTTGCTGGGGTGCAAACTGATTTGTTTCCAGCTTCAGCTTGGAAACAGAAATGAAAATACGCTTCAAATGTTTTCTAACACAGGGTTCAGGGAAGGGAACAGGCCGCTGGATACATTTAATAGAGACCATTTGAGGATGTCTTTGAGAAAAGCCCTGACCTTGTTTAATTATCCGAATAGGAATAGACAGTGTTTTCTCTTTTCCCTGCTTTAGCTCTGTCTCGTGTTCCCATAAACTTGAGAGAAACCACAGATTTCAGAGGGAGGAATGCAGTATTCACACCAGTGAATCTAAGTGAAGGAGGTCTAACGTGCCAGGCTCCCCGCCTGCCATGCTGGGCGGGATGTCGTCAGCTGCCCACTACCATGATACCTTTCTTATTGATTTTGGACTGACTCTAAGAACAAGTTAATGTGTCTTTGATAACCTCTGTAATTCTTGGGTTTTTTTAATTTAATTTTTAAATTATTTTTTAATGTGTTTTTTTTTTTTTTTTTTAAATTTCTGAGAGAGAGAGACAGCGTGAGCAGGGGAGGGTCAGAGAGAGAGGGAGACACAGAATCCGAAACAGACTCCAGGCTCTGAGCTGTCAGCACAGAGCCCGACGCGGGGCCTGAACCCACAAACCACGAGATCATGATCTGAGCTGAAGTCGGATGCTTAACCGACTGAGCCACCCAGGTGCCCCTAAATTTTAAATTTAGAATCTTAATATCACAATAAAATAGAATTGCATTTAATTGACACATAGAAATCGGGGAGAGAGAGAGAGAGTGTGTGTGTGTGTGTGTGTGTGTGTGTGTGTGTGTGTCTGTGTCTGTGTCTGTGTGTTTATTTCTTAGATTTCGCCCTACAGATTTTTAGAGAAACGTGTTGCTCTGTTTCTGATAAGCAAAAGATTGAGTTGGTAAGTTATAAGATTTTCGGTGGATTTAATGGTTTTGTGTTTGGTGAGGACCTAACTGCTGGTCATCGCCCGTGTGAACCTCTGCTCACCTGAAATCATTGGAGAAATAGAAACCGAGCTTAGTGTTTGACGTGCCCTGTGAAGGTGTGCTTTATGACTTGTTTTTTTTTTTTTTTTATGTTTGTTTATTTTCGAGAGGGAGAGACAGAGCGCGAGCAGGGGAGGGTCAGAGAGAGAGGGAGGCACAGAATCCAAAGCAGCTCCAGGCTCTGAGCTGTCAGTACAGAGCCCGACATGGGGCTCGAACCCACGAACCGGAAGATCGTGACCTGACCCAGAGTCAGACGATCAACCGACTGAGCCCCCAGGCGCCCCGCTGTTCGACTTTCTGTGGTCTTCTGGTCAGAATTCCCGCAGGCTGTGCCGTGTCCGTGGTGTGGTCCCTGAGCACGGGCGGCGCAGACCCAGCAGCTGGAGCTTACTGTGCTCTATAGGTGGGTTCCTGAACCAGCCACGGCCGGCCTGGGATACAGATCCGTCGTGTTTGCCTGGAGAAACACGGCCCCGTTGTGAGTAAGTTGTGTTAATGCTGCGGACTAACCGGGACCCTCCTTGTCCTCACCCCATTTCCATGGAGTGTATCTTTGGAAGCCCTCCCCCCCAACCCCGGCATCCATTGGGCAAATACTTGGAACGTACTCGGGATCCTTCTCTGAGAGGTGGTGCTCTGCTTGATGGCTTAAAGAAAAAAAAAATTGGCTCAAGCAGCTGATTGGATCATTTTAACTAATATTCTGTTTGAACAACAGTATCTGTTTGATTAGGATTTTTCCTTCCTTTGTAACTCCCCAAGCTTGCCTCTGTTATGTTTCATAGGAAATGAATCCGTGAGCAGAGAACCTATATTGATATGTAAATACATCATTTTTCCGTTAGTGCTCGATATTCTTTTCATCTAAATTTCAGAAACTGACTTTAAAAATTCAGTTTCCCTTTATCTGTAGTTATTCTCAATAAAATTTTACGCAGGCCTGGGTGATTTAATATTTACACCCACTGTTTCTAAAAGTCTTATGTAAATAAAGATTGAAATGTGAATTTGAAAAGTCACACCTCTTGATATTTGAACAGACTATAGCTGCGTATATCTTCTTTTTCTAATAATGTGGCTAGTTTCTCTCCTAAGCTTTTAAAATAATAAGACACTATTTTTGTACCCTGGAACACCAAAGGGTTCAGTGTTGAATAAAAAGCAAATAGTATTTTTAGAAACGCGAGACCCCAGGGAGCTGGGCTTACCAGGAAATCACCGACGGGCAGCAATTCCAAATTTCAGAAGACTTCATTAGACACACGGCTCTGTTCACAGACGTGCGCCCGGGCACACGCGTGTGCCCCGCCTGCACCGCTGTTCCCACAGTGGACCCGGGGTGGTGACCTTGGATCAGAGAGAAGCAGGGGTGCACCGGGGAGTCTGCGGGGCCCCAACAGGAAACTGGCGTGTGAGTCACCCCTTCTTTGCTGCTACCCCCGCCCCCGCCCCGTAACCTCCCTTGCGCCTGGTTTTCTGCCGTGGTTCTGACTCGCGGGGCCTCCCCTGATCGGCCGGCCCTGCCCCGAGTCCTCACGCAGCTGTCGCAGCTCCGTGCCGAGTTCCTGCTGTCCTTCTCCTGAGCTCCCCATTTTGAGCACAAATCATTTCTCACGAATGCAGGGACTTGGCCTCTCGGGTGTGCGGGGACTTTTCTGTTGACCTTCTCCGCCTTGTCGGCCGGGCCGGGCGGGCGGGCGGGCGGGCGGGTGCTCCTCCCTGTGGGTCTGTTCCGGCCGCCCCTGCAGCCATCGCCATTTGGGCCTTGCCGTGAGGCCCCTGCGGGCGTGCACGCTGTTCCCTAGAGGCACCTCCTCTTCGCCCTGCTTCGTCCTGCCCAGGTGACCGACGGCTGCAGTGAGAGCCGCCCCTGTCCTTGTGGGACGGGGCCTTCCGCCCTCCCCCAGGCCCCGTCCGGTGCCCGCGGCCGCCATCGCCGACGACCTCCTCCGTGGGCGGTTGCACGGCCTGGCCACGGCGCTTCCTGGCTCCCATCAGCTCAGCCCGCTGGGCACAGGGTCCACGGTGGCCGAGTGGGACGTGGAGGGCGCACTGTCCTTTGCAAATTCTAACCTGTTCAACGAAACCTAACGGGGCCGCAAAAGGTCTGTAAAGCAATCAAATGAAGGTACGTGGGGTGGGGGTGGGGGCGTCATCAGGCAAAAAACGGAAGGGAGAACAGATTTCCCTTGCAGTTGGGGTGGAGGTGCTGTGTCCCGGCCCCAGTTTTCCGAGTGGCGTCTGGTCTCTGTCACTCTAGCGCCCCGGCTCACCAGCAGGACACTTCAGGGTTCACTGGGTGTGCGTGGCGCTCAGCTGCCTGATTGTTCTCAGCTTGGCTCCCCACCTCTGCTCTGCTCCGTGTCGTGGAGCCTGCGTTTCCAGACTCCTCGGCTTCTGGTTTCTGACCCTGGACATGGGTGTGGGAGAGGGTGGGGTACAAGCCAGGGCACCTCTGTCCCCCCACCCCCAAGGCAGCCTCTCAGCCCTTCGCTCTGGGATGCCAGCTCCCAAGGCGGGCACGGGCTCCTGGGCTCCGTGCTCGTGCCGCTGCTCCCGGGCCCCTCGCCTGGGCCGCTGGGCTGTCTGCATGGGGGGGCGGGGGGTTGCTTGCCTTGCCTTCCCCGCGGGGCTTTTCCGCTCTTCTGTGGGCGGTTGAAGCCACATTAAATTCCCAGTGTGAAATACCTGCGTTCGTTTCTGAACTGGCCCCACCCGGGCTAACTGCCTAAGGAGCAGACCAGCCCTCTTGGAGGAAAAAACGATTGCAGTTTTAAAAGTGGGCCTCTGGGTCTTTGCTGCCCACCCCCAGGTTCAGGGCGTGCTTCATCGAGCGCGGGTAGAGTCTGCCCCCGCTCTGGCTCACCGGGGCCACGGGATGAGCCCGGGCATTAAACTGAAAGAGTCGGGCCTGTCACTGGTGGCGTTTGTTCTGTTCTCTGGGGTGAACTGGGTTTTAACACTTAAACTGGTAGCATATTGCTACATAGAAGCCGATGTGCAAAACGGGATGTTTTGGTTTTAAGGATCCCCCCGCACAAGTCGATTTCAGATAACAGCCCTGTTGGTTAGTGCTGAGAGCAGGTACTGGGGAAGTAGACCTAATAAGCCTCTGCTGGTCCTACGCTGACACGGTGACTGATAGTGTGACAGTGGGGGGGAGTAGGGGGCAGGCGGGGCGGAGCAGAAATAGAGTGCAGCGCCTGGGGCGTGTGGTCCAGCCTGTGGTCTGTGGTCTGGCTTCCGGCAGGAGCAGCCCAGTGTGATTATTCTGATTCTGAATGGATATGCTTGTTTTCTTTGTACTTTTTATCTCCAAAGGGGCGACCTTTAGAATATTTGTTTTATTTTATTTACCTGTCTGCCCTATTGGTGAGTGCCTCATCCATCCGTAACATCTCTAAATAGTGCGCGGAAACAGGAATGGGCCCAGGGCCTGGGGTGCAGAGGGCCTCCCTTCTCCTGGGCCTGTGTTGCGGCGGGAGGATGGCTGTGGCCACGCTTGGCGGTCCAGGCACCCAGCCGGGGACAAGGCCGAGATGAAACTGTAACGTTCTGACACCGAGGAAGGAAGATCGACGAGCAGCCGTTTGCTCTTTGTGTCCCGTCTCAGCACCAGCCAGCTCTGGTCAGTCCTGTATTCTTATATCCCGAGAGGAGAAAACACAATCAGGTGGGTTCAAAGGAAATTTCATGGATTATTCTGAGAGAATCAAATCACACGTGTGCATTTCCCCAGGTTTGCCAAGGATGCGAGAGCGTTTCGAACCTTGTGCATTCACGGGGAAGAACGGGGTCTGCCGGCGTTGGTGGGCAGGTGGGCTCCAGCGGTCACCGCGGCCCGCCCCTCCACCCGCTGCTCGTGGCTGGTCCGTGTGTGTTCACAGCCGTGTGCCAGCTTCATCCCCGCTCCCCGCACACACACGTGGGCGCAGCGACCAACTCGAGGCCAGCAGTGAGCGAGCGAGCGAGGGAGGGCGGTGACCCTATGGACACCACTCCCAGACGCCAGGAGAGTGTCAGGGCTCAGGCCTGGCGCTGAATTATTCAAACTGGAGGAACATGCCGCCGAGAGGAGAGTTTGGCCAAACTCAGCCAAGTGCAAATCCCAGAACAGACGAGTTTGGATAGACTTCTTACCAAATCTTCAGATTTAGCTTCTGACAGTAAATGTTTTCTCTAGCAAAATTGTTTTGTTTTTTAAACTATGTTATTGAGATCATTTCTAGGCTCTGAAGGAGCACGGAGCCTTTATATAGGAAAACCAAACAAACACTTCTTTCATATAAATAAAATAAGTTAAACTGTGAGGAGATGGTGAAATGGATTAAAAGCACTGTAAGGAAAATGTAATTTAGACTTGCTAGGAGCATGTTAGACTGCGCTAATGCAAACGTATCCACTTTCTGCTACAGATAAAAGCATAAATGCATAGTTAATGTGTAATAAGTGAAGAGAGAGATAAAACACAAGCAGGGCAGTAGATACAGATGGTGGCGGCAGTTACCAAGTCCCTACCTTTGTTGGGTTTGGTCCTGGGGGGAACCGGGGAACTGGGGAGGCTTGGGGGCAGGGATTCTCATGTCCAGAGGCAGATAGATGTGACTTTGGCCAGTGGAGGTGTGGGAGCTAGAATCTGGACCCCTGCCTAAAGTTCTGAGCCTGGAAGATCTGCTTATACCTTTAAGGGGATTAGAAATTAAAATACCAGGCCATACACGGGTGAGTGGCCCCAGGCTGGTTCTCTCCCAGCGGTACAAGAACCAAAAGCAGAGCATGAGCATAAAAAGATACACACTCTTGAGGTCCATTAAGGCCCTGGGTAGCGGCAAATGCAGAATCCCCCTGCAGGCACACAGATCGGAGAGAAGACCGTCTGCACTGAGGATGTCCCATCAGAACAACATGAGCGACATACATGGATCGACTACTGGGGGCGGGGCTTGGGGACACATCAGGAGTTATAGCAGGAGATACGTGCCTCCAAGACTCTGAGATCTAAAAGAACCTGAAGTTCACTATAACGGTAATTGTTTTAAATTTAAAAATGATTAAAGAAGAAATAGAGCAATAATGAAAGGAGAGTACCGTGAGAAAAAAGAATTGGAAGGTTAAAAAAAAACCCAACCTTCGAAAGTGAATGATATGGTCACTGAAGTGAGACGTAGTTAAAGAGAGAATTCGCGAACTAGGTCTATCTGGGGAAGTCATCCAAGGCACGGCACGAGATTATAGAGAGACGGAAAGTATACAAGTGGGAGTCAGAGTCTGAGGAAAGATAGGAAGCCCTGTCAGGAGATCTAGAAGGAAGGAGTTTAGAGAAAAGGAGGAAAGAAAAATGAAAAGACCCAACTTGAAAAGATCCATGGCTTTTGGACAGATAGTAGCTGAGAATTTTCCAGAATTGAAGGAGAGACATGTCTTGGAGCAAAAGAACAAGGTGGCGAGGATCACCTGCCACACGTCAGGACCCGTTACAGAGTGGGGAGGGCTCGGGCAGTGCTGGCCCAGTGATGGAGAAGTAGACCAGTGAGATAAAGTGCAGAGCTTTGAACTTGCATCCCTGGCAGCCGAATACAGTGTGGAGACAGTGTGGCAGGGCAGGGGGGTGACGAGACACGTGGCCGTCCGTATGAGGGTCAGCAGGAGCAGAGGGAGGCGGGGGGAGGTTAAAGACCCTAAGTGTCCAGACAGAATTATAAACTCCAACAACTCACGGGGAGAGGACTGGAATGTTTGGCTATGTACATAAGATGCGTCGCACGCCAAAACCCCTCCTCAGCGTTGAAGAAGATCCCATAACACGGGGAAGACATTGTGACATACGAGACAGAGAGTCGCAGGTAAATGGACAAAGTGTATGAATTGGCAGTTGAGAGAAGAGGAAACCCAGTTAGCCAGTAAATGTAAACAGATGTTAAGGAATTAAGAGTATCAAATTAAAGCATCAAATTAGCAAATAACGACAGCAACAAACCTCAGAAGTGTGGAGAAGGGTATGGGACGTCCTCTTCGGCAAGTCCATCTCCCCTGACTTCCTGACTTCAGTCCTGCCTGCTTACTCTTTCCCCCGGATTAAAAGGGATGTTTTCTCGAACTTGATCCCTGTAGAGATCATCAGTAGGAGACTGATTATGAACAGCGTTCCGAGTCACTCATTAGACGCGGACAGTGGAAGTGAAGGCAAGGGTGTGGGGTGAAAGGCTGTGCCCACCTCGTTGGAGGCCGTGCCCTTCGGCACAGTGACTGGAAGGGCAGATTCCTGCTGCGGGTGGCGGCGGGCATTCCCCGTGACCTGGGAGAGTCATTCCTGGGGGGACATCCTAACGGGTGCCCAAAGAAATGTGCACGAAATAGCTGCAGTAGCGTCATTTGCCTGGCAAACAGCCAGCAACAACGCCGCTGTCCAGGGGGACAGCAGGTAAATGAGCTTGGGTATGTTCATTCGCCGAAGTATCACAGTAAAAATGGCTGAGCTTAAGGAAACTACAGAAGGATGTGTGTAGAATGATGCCATCTAGATACAATCTTAAACTTGTAAAACATTGATATTAACGGAAAGAAGACATTCCTGAGAATGAGAAACTTTAAGTTCAGGATGACGAGTTCATTTCTCCTTCGGGACTGAGGGCTCAGGATGTGCAGGGTGTGCAGGTTGTATCTGTCATGCCCTGTCTCCCAGGTCATGTGGTGCTTCGTGAGGGCGTGGTCTGTTTGTGTCCGCATCTTTCTTGTCTTTCCGAAATCATGGTGGGTGGGTCTTGAACATGACCTGTCTGCACACCCGTCGTGGAAAACAGGACAGCAAGGACAGAAAGCTCTGTGGGCTGCTCAGGAGACGGGGAGGGGTCATGCTGTGGCCACAGACCTCTCGTTGGTGAAAACAGACACCAGGAGACCCCGGAATAGTGTCTCTGACACGCTCAGGGGACGCGCTGTGTGAACATGTGGGCCGGCTGCACGAAGCCCGAGGCCAACAGCGCAGCGGGATCACGGGAAATGCAGCTACTGAAACTGACCCAGAAGAGACAACACAAACAGACTGGTAACAGTGAAACAAATTGGGAAAGTTACCAGAAAGCTACCATCGCAGATGGCTTCATAGATTAAAAAAAAAAATCCTACATGAAGGGGCACATGCATGAGTTAACATTAGAAAAACTACTACATTGATCAAAGGAGAAAAACCAGTGATCATCTAAACAAATACAGACTCCAGATCCCACTGATGATAAAAACTCAGCAGACCGGAACTACAAGTGTTTACCCTGGGAAGGGCCAGGGTTTGTCACGCTTGGTGGAAGCATTTCCACTGATGGAGAGGGAAACACAAGTTTGCCTGCTGCCCCCACTTCTGCTTCGTGTGCCGCTCGCTCGCTCCTGACTACCCAGGGAGGCGTAATGCTTTCCTCTTTGACACCGTGAGAGGAGAAAAAAGATGCGATGGGGTAACGATTGGAAAGGAAAAGATACATTGTTATTTCCAGATGATACAGTTACCTGCACAGATGATCCAAGAGAAGCTACAGCTAAAGTGCTAGAACAAATGTTCATGACACTTGTTGGGTAGAAGATGAACATTCAGACGTAGGGTGGATGGATGGATAAAGAATCTGTAGACACACACCGTGGAATGTTATGTAGCCATAAAAAGGCATGAACTCCTGCCGTTTGCAAGGAGGAGCCTTGGGTGTTCTGCTGAGTGAGGTCAATCAGAGGGGGACTAATTAATACCGAATGGTCCCACTTACATATCAGATCTTTTATTTAAAAACAGGGGCACCTGGGTGGCTCAGTTAAGCGTCCGACTTCAGCTCAGGTCATGATCTCACAGTTCATGGGTTAGAGCCCCACGTCGGGCTCTGTGCTGACAGCTAGCTCAGAGCCTAGAGCCTGCTTCCGATTCTGTGTCTCCCTCTCTCTCTGACCCTCCCCAGCTCACACTGTCTCTCAGAATTAAATAAAAAAAGTTTAAAAAAAAAAAACAAAACGTGGCTCCTAGATACTGAGAGCAGGTTGGTGGATGCCCAGGGTAGTGAGGTGGAGAAATGGACGAAAGGAATCAAAAGGTAAAATGAAAATAAAAATGCTCAAAGACCACAGGAGGTCTTTGAAGTCTTTAAAGTCCTCAGACCCCTCACAGGGCAGCCTGCTTGAGACCTCCGTGACCCCTCCAGGGGCCAGTTGCCCTTTCGCTAGACCCCATATCTGTGAGTTTGAGATGGAATAATTTTAGGTAAAAGAACCACCTGAGAGCTGGAGTTTGGAGAGCCTGTCCTTCGAGCCTGCTGCTGAAGTCCAGGAAAGCTGTGTGTATAGTTTGTGTTTTAGTTTTAAACTCAAGGCTTTCCCTAGAACGTACCTTCCTCTATATTCCCTACTTTTAAAACTGCCCATTTATCTTGAGCTGAACAGCATTCGTCTGTGATTCCCCTCAGCCTTGTGCACCGGGGAGGGGCTCCTCTGGAGATGAGGCCCAAGGTGGTGGGTACGCTTGGTGGGAGCTTGGGTGGAGGGAGACAGAGAGAAACTCTTAGCGGTAACAATTAAGAAACAAGTCACACTCCTGTTCCTTCCTCGGGATGTGAGAAGCAGTGAGCCCTTGGATGACTAGAACAGAACAAGAACTTCTTAAAGAGTAAAATATGTTACACCCCAAGGAGGTGGTGATGACGTGCATTAAAAGGCAAGTTAGCACTTTAAGAAACATGACTTAGGCTTCCTAACGTCTGGATCTGAGTTACCGTCCAATATCCTTTAAATTCAACCTGAAGGGCACTGAGTATCCTTCAGTATGTCAATAGGGTAGGTCTACCAGCGACAGATTTTCTGTTTATCTGGGGATGTTTTCATAGCCCCGTCATTTCCGGAGGATAGTTTGGTTGGATATAGAATTCTTGATTGCTGGTCTTTCAGCACTTTGAATACACACCGTATGTGACTGTAACAGCCAGCTGTTAGCCTTCTGAGGGCCCCTCTCCCTCTCCCTCTGCCTTCAGGGCGATTTGTGCTTTGACAGTTATCCTGCCGTGTCCAGGTCCCGGCATCTTGGGGTCTGAGGCCCTTTAAATCCCAGCATCAGAACGAACAAAAGCTCTCTTCCAAAAACCTCTCTCTCTCGGTGGAAATAAGTTGGGTTGTATTTTATCAAAAGTGGTGTATTCCCCATGTCTCCTAAGATCACTTTTCAGTCCTGATCAGGCCCCAAGGCATGGTCAGTCCGCGCGGGACTCCCAGGTGGAGCACGGCCCCTTCCTCCCACCTGGGTCACGTGGAGACAGAGCGCAGACCTCCCGTCAGCCACTGGGCGTGTGGAGGGTGACAACCGGGACCTTGCCTCTAGATCGGCATTGGGACGGGCTCCCCTTTGGGTGTCCCTGTGGCTCTGTGCTCCAAGAGGGACATTGACCAAGTGGAAGGAGCTGAGGAGAGGGAATGGAGTGAGGCAGGAGCTCTGAGCGTTGGCAGAAGGCTTACAGGAGCAGTTTCTGTGTTTAGGATCTGGACTTGGTCTTCATATTGACGTGGCCCCATCTACCTCGTTGTCCCGAGTCTTGGCCATTCTGCCTCCAACACGTCTTCAGATAACCCCATCCGACGGGGAGGGTGGGGCTGGGGGCTGGACGGAGACCTCTCAGTGACAAGCTTCTTTAAAAAAAAAATAGGGTATTTGAGCCACACGGTGGTAGTGCTATTGGCAGCAGAGATGAAGATGATGATGATGATGATGATGAAGAATTAAAGAGCATGATCCAGGCCCCTCACCCCTGGCCCGTCCCACTGTCCCTCCCTCGAGAGAGGCCCCATCTTCCCTGGAGCCTCGGCTCCTGGCCCATCCACTGCACTCCCTCCCCGACAGCAGCTCGGAGTGAGCTTCCCAGGCTCTGCGCGAGCCCATCTCTGCCACTCCCCATGCCTGGGGCGGTGCCTCCTCTCCGGGCTCCTGCTGCTGAGGGGCTCAGGACAAGAGCTTCCTGGTGGAGAAGTTGGGGACACGCTCTGTCCTTTCCCCACCTTTTGGGGAGTTGATGGGTAGTAGGTGATTAAAGAGCCCACGGACCACAGTAAAGACTCTTTACAAAGGGGTGCCTGTATACGTGCGTTTTGGAGGCTGTTTTGGGAAACAGAGGCCTGTGGAATAAATTCAGCACCTATACTCACCAGAGCCTTTCACAGGCTGGGCACAGCCTGGCATTCCAGACAGATGCCCTGTCCCTGTCTGTGTGTGCTGTGAACCCTGGCTTCAGTCATCACAGACAGCTTCCCTGGTTCTGGAACATTCTTTTTTTTTTTTTAATTTTTAATATTTAGTTTTGGGGGGGAGGGAGGGCAAGTGAGGGAGGGGCAGAGAGAGAGGGAGGCACAGAATCCCAAATAGGCTCCAGGCTCTGAACTGTCAGCAGAGAGCCTGATGCGGGGCTGGAACTCGGGGACCACGAGATCATGACCTGAACCCAAGTTGGATGCTTCACCGACTGTGTCACCCGGGTGCCCCTGGTTCTGGAACGTTCTGACCTGCCGTTCTTACTGCCAGGGAGCCCTCTCACCTTGTAAGAGTGTATTCTGCCTTCTTAATCCACTCAAAATACCTGTCCTGTGCAAAGCCTGCCCTGACCGCTCCTCAGGCAGAATCTGATATCTCCAGAGCATCTTTCTCCAGTCTGCCAGAACGATCCATCCTTGAAACATGCTCACAACCTGGATGCCACCCCCTCTGCCGCCCCCCCCCCACCACTGTGTGCTAGTCCCAGGTCTTTCATGTTGGGTCCCCGTGGCTCAGGGCAATGCCCGCCTTCTAGGAAATGAGCACCATCATGGACCAGACCACCCTGTGCCCTCCACTGCCTGGCCCAACCCACCCTTCCTGCCTCCGCCCGCCCAGGGAGCCCACTGGCATCGTGACGTGGTCTTGGAGAGCAGGGCTCCCCTGCGAGCTGCTGCCATTGGGCCACGGATCCACACTGCTCTCTGCTGGGATGGTGGCCAACTGGGACGAAGGTTTCCAGACTCTGGACAAGGCCTCTCATTTCACTGTGGCACAGGGGCAGGCCGCCTGCCCGCCCCTAGCCGTCTGGTCCTTCCCAGTTATTGCTGTCGGCAGAGGTGGGGAGGCGTGAGGTAGGGTGGGCAGCAGCCCTGGGCTGTTACCAGCTGGGGCTCCTGCCAGAGCCTGGGACCCCTGGCAGAGCCACTGCAGCGCCCCTGAGTTGGGCCTATTCAGTGTTTAGTCAGCAGTTTAAAAACTTGTATTTTACGGGGCGCCTGGGTGGCTCAGTCCATTGAGCGTCTCACTCTTGACTTTGGCTCAGGCCTTGATCTCACGGTTTATGAGTTTGAGCCCCGCGTCGGGCTCCACACTGACAGTGCAGAGCCTGCTTCCGACCCTCTGTCTCCCTCTCCCTCTGCCCTTCCCCGGCTCGCGCTCTTGTAGCTCGCTCTCAAGTAAATAAACATTAAAAAAACTAATTCTATTTTGTGAATATATAAATTATATTTTCAGTCTGTTTTCCTTCAAAAGCATGGTAGGAGAGAAGAAAACTAATGTTTATTTGAGAAAATTCTATGTAACAGGCACCATAGGAAGTGCTTTAAAAATGTTTCATTATATGTTCCCAATACTGTGTAAATGAAGACTCGCCTCAGAAAGAAAACATTCGTACAAGTGCGCGCCCTTCCGTTGTCAGCGCGGTGCTTAGTGTTGGTGCACAGACAGCCGCGGTAATTACTTCCCACGGTGTGCTTTTGTGTCATTGTAGGGACATCTTAACCACACGGAGAACTATTAGAAGGTGCAAGCGAGAAGGTTCCGGTCTGGGGCTGAGCCGTCCGCGTGCCAGCGAGCGTCGTGTCCTGACGGACGTGGGCGCCCCCTGTTCACACTGCTGCCCGGTGTCCTCTCGTTGCGGTGACCCCGTGCCCGCCGCGCCAGAGCCAGGAGGACCCCGTGCCCCCCGAGGAGCCTTCCCACTGCCGTTACCTGCCGCCGCCTCCTTTCACACGTGTCCTTTGCATCATTTCAAAGTTAAAAAAAAATTGGGTGCCGGATTCCCTGTGAGGCCCGAGAGCCCCTGGCGTCGGGAGCCTCGCCCGGGCTCCGCCGACACACTTCCAGTGTGGCCGTGTCCGGGGCTGCTCGTGCTCCTTTTTTAGCTGAAAGACTTATTTTTATATTTAAAATGCTTTATTATCTTAAACTGAATTTTATTAAATGCTGGTATCCAATCTGTTCCGTGTAATTCCCCAACCAAAGTTAGCCGGCACAGGGCCTCTTTTATATTAAAGTGGAATTTTCTCATTTCTCTCGGGTTTTCAGTGCATCGTGTGAGTGTGCAGACTGGCTCGTTGTCCCCGGGTCTGAAGGCCTCCCCAGATGCCCTTGTACTTGACAGACAAGGTCCCGGTGACACCGCTGGGTTACAGGACGGCTCTCGGCTCTTCGCCCTCCCAGAGCCCGAGTGGGGACAGCGTGGCTGCGCCCTCGGTTTTCACCGCGTCCCCCCGCGGGCCGTGTTGTCTGCCAGCACGCGTCCCTAGCACGGACGTTCTGAAGAGGGGTCCGCAGTCCCGTGGAGGGACTCGGTGTCGCACCGAAGGGCAGAAGGAGACCGGGCGCCGGGTGTCAGTACCCGCCGTGGCGGGGACCACCCACAGCCTCAGGGCACCGCTGTGTTCTGGCGAAGGGATCCGACTCTTCTGCCCCCGGCGTCTTGGGAGGTCGCCAGTCATTCGGCGCTGGGTCGGGTCACGGACGCGCCTGAGCCGAGACCGCAGTCCTCGCCGAACAGCCACGGCCGAGAGCCGTGAGGCTGAGATTTGTGGCCTTAGAATCCGTGCTTCTGAGGCGCGTCCCTGTGCTGCTCTCCGGAATGAGGCACGTCTTCGCTCGGGGGCAACACGGGAGTCCTGGGGTCCTTAGATTCACACTGGCGGTGGGTGGGCTCCACCTTCCCCCAGCTTCGAGGGGACAGGAGGTGGCCACATGGGTACTCATTGTTTTGGGTCGTTGCTGCACCCCCACGTCGCCCGGGCAATGTCAATCGAAAGCGTTTCCTGTGGAGACCAGGGCCCGCGCGCCCCCTGCCCGGTGGAGGGCAGCCCCGTTTAGAGCCAGACACGCCGGGTGCGGGTCTCCCGTCCCCCACGGCGTCTGGCCGCGTGAGCGGTCAGTGTCCCGCAGCCTCGTCCTCCCGTCCGTCTGTGAGGGGGCCGGTGGGGGCGTGAGGCACAGGCGTGCCCAGGCGGCAGTGGTGACCGCACGGTGCCCGTCCTCGTGCTCACTGCACAGCCCTCGGGCCCCAGAGAGGCCGTCTTCTCTGGAACAGCAGAAGGGCGAGCGCTCAGAGCGGCAGTGAGAATGACGAGCGCCGGGTGGTGCCGGATGGGCACTTGTGTCCTGAATCCCTGCAGATCTGAGATGGTGGACAGAGGGCGCAGCGCGGGAAAGCCCGTCGGCCGGGCGCCCCGCTCGTGCCACAGAGCGGGATGCTGTGGGGTCAGGGCCGTCCTCGTCCCCAGCCTGGCCTCCGGCCTCGCCCTCCGCTCCGAGTGGCCCCAGCCCTGCCCCTGCCCAGTCTGCTTCGTTTGGGGCCCCACAGCCTGTGAAGTGTTCGGGGGGGGGGGCTTTGCTCCTTCCTGCCGCTTCATGATTATACCGGTAACGCTTGCCCGTCGTACAGGAAGGTGGGGAGCGGGGACGGGAACCCAGAGCCGCTCCCCCCAGGTGGCCGCTCTGGGCCTGCTGGACGCAGGCTTCCCTTCGCGGCTAACCGTGTGCCGCGTGGGGGCCGCTGTCCCCATCCCTGCAGGAGCACATCCTTGCGAAGGTAACAGGGCGCTCCGTCCGGGAACGCTCAGGCTGCTGTCATGACAGCTGGACACTCGTGTGCCCGTCCTGTGGGGGCAGGTTGTTTTTAGAGCCTGGAGGTAAGTGTCGGGAGGTCTTTCTGATCTTTGCAAAATGAAGCTCGGGCCAGGATGTCCGGCTTGATGGGCCCGGGGCAAGGCCACTCGGCCTGCTGGGGTTCCATGGAAGAGCTCCCAGCGCGGCCTGCGCCTCGCCGCGGCCGCCCACCTGGCTGCCCCCCTCCGGCCATGCCCCCCCGCCACCCACTGCCAGTCAGCACCCCCCCGGCCACCCCCCGCTGGTCAGCACCCCCCGGCCACCCCCCGCTGGTCAGCACCCCCCG